GGTTGGAACTCAGAGCATGCTAGGTGGTCACTGAGTAGTTAAGGGGGAGCAGCAGCAGCCCACACCTTCTCCAAGCCCTGATACCACGTGCTGTCTGCTCTGGCCTGAGCCTGACCACAGATACTCTATGAGATGAGGAAGCATTAGGGCACTGAGGATGAGTGTGAGTTCCAACAGTGAACTCTCAGCCGAGTTCCAGTCTTATATTCCCCAGTCACCTAAACTGAGGGATGTCCTTGCCATGACAAACTTAACACATCCAGGACGTGCTCACTGTCTGCCCTCACTACTCCTCCTGGCTCCTCACACATCAAACCTACAGGCAGATGGCAGCACTGACCAGTCAATTGAGGAACTGATTCACTGTGAAGTATCTGGTCAGAATTTAAGACACTGAACAGGAGCTGAAATGGTAAGCAGGCTCTGTCCCTGCACAGAGGAGGAGACTGGGTTCTGCCTGGGGCTTCTGCACTGTTTCTAGAGGCTCCGGAGCAGATGGACTGGAAAGGCTATGGGCAGCCTTCCAAGAAGAGCTCACCAAGCCACCTAAGACCCCTGAGTTCAACACTGCACACAGGGGCCCCATAGAAGTTTCCCATGGCTGCCGTGACAAATTACCACAAATGGAGTAGCTTACAACAACACAATTTTATTATTTTACAGTGCTGGAGGTCAGAGGTCTGAAATGGGTGTCAGTAGACTAAAATCCAGGTGTCAGCCCAGCTGTTTTCCTTCTCCAGCCTTCTCTAGAAGGCAACCAACTCCCTGGCCTTTCCAGCGTCTAGAAACTGCTGCACATGCTGGCTCATGGCCCCTGGCTTAGCGTCTTACAACCTCTCTCTGACTCTCCCATCTGGTCTCCCTCTCAGGAGGACCCTTGTGATTATATCTGGCCCACCTAAAACTCAACATGTGCCCAGATATTCTCTCCACCTCAAGATCTCTAACATAGTCACATTTGCAAAGCCCCTTTGACACATAAGATAATGTATTCACAGGTTCTGGGGGATTGGATGTGGACATCTTTGGGGGACCATTATTCTACCTACCACAGGCCCTGAGCAGGATGAGCCTGTCTGGGGGCACCAGGCTGGACCTCAGCCTCCTGCCTTCCTACCGGCTCTGTTCGAAGTAAAACTTGGTGCGGGCCGAGGGCTCACTCTCCTTGATGAGCTGTACTGGCTGCTGGGGCTCAGCCGGGCCACAGAGGAACCAGCCAGGCCAGGCAGCTGCCTCAAGCCTGAATGCAGAGCCGGAGCTGCTCTGGAAGAAGGTGAAGCGTGTGGTCTCTTCACCGCCCTTATATAGGTCCTCAATGTTCACATCCTGTGGGGCAAAGTGGCTGGCTGCAGGAGGAGGGTGCTGACTGAGATGTCAGCCCTTGGGGCTCTCAGGGCATGGCCAACGAAGGACATGGCAGAAAAGGTCTTTACCCAAAGAACTGCTTTCTGCACATTTCAGAGGTAAAGGGGATTGGTGCTGGGTGCAAAGGGGGAGAGGATGGAAACCTAGGGGAGGGGCACATGTAGACTTGGCCAGGAATTTGCAGATGGACACAAAGAGGAGATGCCAGAGAGTCCCAAGGGCTGTGCCAGGTCTGCAGCACCCTCAAGAGTGGGGAGGGGTCTCTCACCTCCAGCTTCAGGGAAGGCCCCTCTCCTGTCTCAACACATGCCAGGCAGCAACTACCTCCCTGGACCCCCAGGAGGATGGGGACCTTGGCACGGTCCAGGCCTCTGTTAGGAAGTATGCAGACCTTCTCTGGTAGGGAAGAGAGAAGAGGGTCAAGGAGTGGGGACCCCAGGTTGAAGGCCCTTAGCAAACAAAGGCTAGGTAGGAAGTACTGGGTGTGGGCACACCTGGCCTAGCTCTGCCTTCAGGCTTCAAGGAGAGCTGGGACTCCTTACCGGGGTCATGCCACCTCACTGTCACCTGCTGGTAGAGGCCCCAGAAGCTCACCTGCACAGCAGCTGTCTGCAGTGGGATCTCCCACAAAGAGCTGGCCATCTCTCATGTACAGAGCCTTCTGATCTGCATCTTTAATTCTGCAACAGTAGGACAGTGTCCATGGCCCACTCTCCTCAGGCACCACTTGCCCCCATCCCCACCCACCCCCATGGTCTGAATTACCACCCTGAGCATTTGGGGGATTTTCTGTCCTCTGAAGGTGAGGAAATGAGGCGCTACTCTTCCCAACAGCAGATGAAGTCCAGCTCAATCTTAAAGCAAGGAAGGCCTCCTCAGTTCCTGCGTTCAGAGGCTGCACTTCCTGCCTTAACCCAGTTGGGCAGCCACAAGGCCCTCGGGGCAGTGTGGGGAGCCAATGTCCTCTCATGGAGGACAGAAGAAGCTTTCCCTGGCTTCCCGGGAAGTCTCCTAGTGAGGTTCAGATGCGTTGGGTTACAAGAAGCATTATCCCAGATTTTCAAGGCCTGCCCCAATTTTTCGTAAATGTTTATTTTCTGTAATAGAAGGATTTGTTGAGTGTATAATGAAGTGTGATTTGCTTTACACTTATTTTAAAGACTTTAAAGTTGGCTATTAGCTCAGTTGCCTGACTGGTTTTGAAGAAGCCTGTCAGCTGCTCTCAGGGCCTGGGGAGCTCTCGTCCATCACCTATTAGGGCAGAATCTCTGGACCAATGCCACCACCTGCAGGAAACTTTTCTCTCTCAGTAACAGCTAATTATAATACCTTAGCTAACGACTACATGTTTAAAGTAGGTTTACTTGTACCATAAAAATAAAAGTCTGGAAAGATCCCAGGCTTGTCAATACTCATTCCTTTTGATAACCACAGACCTGGCAACTCATCTGCCTACAACATTCTATTTGAAGACTAGGACACAAGCCAGATGCTCTGAAGTGTTGACTTCTGTTTTGTCATTTGCATATTTCCTGTATATGCATCTTGCCTTCCCAACCAGGCTGTCACCTCCTAGAGGCCAGAACTGCACTGTCCCTCCCAACTCCATATATACATAACACCTTATCCAGGACAGTACAGGGCCCAGGGTGGGGGTTGAGGTCCTCTGAGGATGAAATGCATCTTAGAGGTCAATCCTATTTTCTTTTCATTATGCCCTATTTCCTTCTTTCTTTCTTTCTTTCTTTCTTTCTTTCTTTCTTTTTTTTGTTTTTTTTTGCAGCTTTTGGCCAGGGGCTGGGTTTGAACCCGCCACCTCCGGCATATGGGGCCCACTCCCTACTCCTTTGAGCCACAAGTGCTGCCACATTATGCCCTATTTCTTCTCCAAAGGACTTGAGGAAGCTCATGACAAAATCACAAACAATGAAGTAAGGATGCAGATTTCGCAAATAGGAGTTAGAGGCCTGCACTAGGAGTAAAGACCATGAAGGTCTCGAAAAGATGTTGTCAGCTCAGCACTTGTGGCTCAAGTGGCTAAGGCGACAGCCACATACACGTAAGGTGGTGGATTTGAATCCAGCCCGGACCTGCCAAACAACAACAATGATGACTGCAACCAAAAAATAGCCAAGTGTTGTGGCAGGCACCTGTGATCCCAGCTAGTTGGGAGGCTGAGGCAGGAGACTTGCTTGAGCCTAGGAGTTAGAGGTTGCTGTGAGCTGTGATTCCACGACACTCTACCCAGGGGGATAGCTTGAGGCTCTGGCTCAAAAAAAAAAAAAAAAAAAAGAAAAGAAAAGAAAAGAAAGAAAGAAAAGATGTTGTCATTAAGATTCAACATTGTCTGGCTCGTTGCCTGTAGCTCAGCAGCTCGGGCACTGGCCACATACACCAGGGCTGGCAGGTTGGAACCCAGCCTGGGCCTGCCAAACAACAACAATAACAACAAAATAGCCAGCTATTGTGGCAGTCACCTATAGTCCCAGCTACTTGGGAGGCTGGGGTAAGAGAATAGCTTAAGCCCAAGAGTTTGAGGTTGCTGTGAGCTGTGACACCACAGCACTCTACTGAGGGCAACATAGTGAGATTCTGTCTCAAAAAAAAAAAGAAGATTCAAAATCGTCTTTGACAATGAAGAATCTGTTTAATGCTTACTATGCTGATTAATAATATTGCTGATGTTTGCTTTTACTGTGAGAAGAAGGGATGGCCTCACTGTTGTCTGGAATTGCTGGCTTTTCTGTAAATAAAAGTGGTGGTGTTGATGTCTCAAAAAAAAAAAAAAAAACTTGTCTTTGAGCTTTCAGAGAGGCAGATGGAGCAACACAGAGGACATGTCAACCCTGGCTCTTCCTTTTGGTAGCTGGGTAACATGGGGGAAATTATTTAACTTCTTCGAGCTTCAGTTTCCATTGGGGTTACTAATGCTTCCCTTATAAACTTCTTAGGACAACTGAGGCAGTAGCATGGCTGGCATCCAGAGACATTCAGAAAGAGACCTGTTGCTACTGCAGTGGTGGTGATGCTTAATTATAGGACATTTGAGAGACCTAAGGTGAAAAGGAGACTCATCCTCTGACTCAGCCTTTCTTCCATCTTCCCACAGAATCCCCAGACCCCCTGCTGGGAAAGTGGATTGGCCAGGACAACTTACATGTAGTATCTTGCCATAGGGAGGGAACACATTTCTGCAATCAGGGGTGTCTGGTCCTGGCTGAGAAGGAGGAGAAAGGCTGTTAGTGAAGGAAGTGAGTGGAGCTGGGGGCAAGCATGCTGGGGGCCAGAACCACACAGCCACAGGTTGCAAAGGTCTCCCAGGCCTTTATCTATAACCAGCCTCTGGGGACCACCAAGGTCTTGCCAGCTCAGCAGACTCCAGGCAGCTTTGTCTCCCTCCCTGGGGCCAATGAGAGCAAGTCTAGCTGGCAGGGGTGTGAGCCTAGGACCTATGTGCAAACCTGATGACAGGTTGCCCTAAATAGCTAAGCTGGGATACTTCCCAGGCTTGAGAGTGGGGTGGAGTATGCTCTAGCCTCTCAGTAGGGAGATAAACCCAGCTCAAACCCAGCCCCACTGCCCATCCACCCGAGGGTCATCACACCCCCTCCCCCTACCTAGTACCCAGAGCCAGAGCAGAGGAGGAAGGCACAGCCAGGAGGAGTCTCCAGCCACAGCAGAATAGGCAGGGCCTCCTGGGACAGGAGAAAAGCATCCTAGCGTGGTCAAGACTACCAAAGACAGCCCATCCAAACTCCCCCATTCCTTTCCAGATGGAAAACACCACTGGTGTTTTTTGAAAGTGAAAATCTAGAGTGAAGATTATGCCCCTGTTGAAATACCAGGCCACACGGTGTCCTGTGAACTCTGCTTCTTCCTGGTAGATTATCTTAACCTAGAGCTTTTCCCTAAAATGACCACCCTTTGGAAAGGCCCAACCAGCACCTAGCATGAAAAGAAACCCAGAGCCAATATGGAGTTGGAAATTAGCCCAGAAAAGCAAATGCAAGGACGACTGTCAGGGCTAAGGTTTACCAAGGAGATCTGACTCTCACCAGGCAAGAAGAACAAATATAAGACAGCAGAAAATAAGAAGAGATGAGAGAGAATGAAGGTTTGAGAAAAGGAGTGGGGCACAGAGAGGAATGGAGTGATGCTGAGGGACATTTGGGAGGCAGAAAAGGAGGGAAGGAGGAAAAGTGTGTGCCAGGGGTCATGCTTCCAGCCACCTGAGCACCTGAGCTCCCTGGCATGATTTTAGATGAAATGGGGCAGTAGTAAGGTGACTTTTGTTACTGGATCTGCCTCTCTGTCACTGTGGACAAGTCATTTTCTGTCCCTGGGCTTTGGGGTGGGACTTTAAGAGTTAGTGAGAGTGAAGGTAGTAAGAACTAATAAAGGTGCAATCCTGGACAGATGTCAGTTCTGTGAATCAAAATCTTCGAGCATTCCACATACTTTGTCATTGCATGTGTTACCCTTATTCTAAGGAAAATAATGGATTGCCCTCATGTTACTTACAAAAATGTTCACTGCTTATTCTTTATAATAGTGAGGAGTTGGAAATAATGTTCAATAATAGGCTAAAAATTATGACAAATTCAATAAAGAATAAAGTGTGTATTAAAGATGATCAATTATAGGGAGGCAGCTGTGGCTCAAAAGGGTAGGGTTCTGGTCCCATATGCCAGAGGTGGTGGGTTCAAACCCAGCCCTGGCCAAAAAAAAAAAAAAAAAAAGATGATCAATTATAGAAGCCTGTTTTATGACCTAAAAAGTTTCAAAATGTATTAGGTAAAAAATGCAGATTATAAGTCACATGTACATTATAAGTCTGTTCAATTCCATACACATACAGAGACACGTGTACATAGAAATAAAGATAGCTGGCATTGTTATAACATGTGCCTATGGCTGACTAGATTATGAGAATTTTTTAAGCATCTCAACATTTTTCCTGTAATGAACATGAGTTTCCTTTGTAATATAAAGTAAATTTAAATAATTTAACTGGAGTATTCGGTCAAAGTCATTGGCTCTTTGAATCACCTGAGCAACTCCTCATAAGTACTATTTTCTGGGCTGAAGGTTCTGATCTGGTAAGGATCGTAGTGTTTCATCTACCTTGGGAACTGGTATACTAGCTCAGCTCTTCTCACTCTTGAAAAAAGATACAAATTACCTGAAGCCCTTATTAAAATGCAATTCCAGTCTCTAGTTCGGAATGGTACCTGAGACTACATTTAAAACATGCAACCAGGCAATGGCTGGTGCAGGGACAGCAGCCGGAGTGGTCAACAGTAGATGACACCTGACAGGTCATTCAGTGGCAGCACAGCTTCCATGTGGGCCCACTTGTGATGTGCTCTCCCTCAGACAAACCACTGAGGCTCCACTGGTGGCAGCAGCAGGACAGTGGGCAGCCTGGCAGCTGTGCCAGGTCTAGGTAGTGCAGACCAAGTGGAGGGCCCCATAGGAGGCTGGACAGCAGGCTGATGCCTCCCACTCTTGGTCAGCATCAGCTCATAGAGCTGGCAAAAATTCAGCACTGGTCCAGTCCAGCTGGATCCCTTGGTCCCTAGAAACCTCTCGTCCTGGCATAGTCAAAAATTCCAGTATCTCCTTGATCAGGCCCCCCTGCTTGGGCTCTGGCTCAATTGTGATGGATGAGCAGGAGTGGGAAGCTGCCTTCCCGTCCATCAGAGAGCCTGGGTCCTGATGCTGAGTCTCTGCCATGGCCCTCCCAATGTGCCAGGCACTCCATCCCCAAAGTTTTCCCTTCCCTGTTGTCTCCAAATGACTTTTCACTGGACTCCAGCCTGCATCCTACTTGTGTTACTCTCACTTCTCCCCAGACATGGCCTCTGACTGTCTCAGAACTCTTTAATTCCCCTGTCCTGTGCCATCTACCATGCCTGAATAGCCCTGGGCTTTCCCATGTTCTTCCGCATGCCCGCCTGCCTTATCCTCTCCTCATTCTCCTGCACTTCATCTACATGGGGTGTTCTCTCAAAGACCAAATGCTAACTTCTGTGGAACCAAAGTCTCTTAGTTTCCTTTGATGTTTGCTTGCTGCCCGCTTTGAACCCTTGACATTGGTTGACTCTCCACCCCTCTTTTTCCTACCTTCTCAGCCCTATCATGGATTTTTCCTCCTTCTGGGGCTGTCCCTAATGCTGAAGTGATCAGCACTTCTACTTTGTACTCCATGGAGCTGTAATTCATCAGTTTCTATGACTGCAATGATCATCTTTCTAACCCCCAAACCCAGACCAACACCCTACTTTACCCACAAGCTGCCTATAGAACAACCCCCTTGCATGTCCTGCTGATAATCTGCCAAATATAACATAATATATCTAAGGTCAAGTTAATTGTTTTCTCTTCTTCCCAACCCACTTGTTCCTTTCAATTTCATCCCTCTGACTACCATACCATTCCTCTCAGGAGTAATGTTCAAAACCTGAGAATCATTGACAGTATCTCCCATTTCTCCTGACCTAATATGTGACTGGTCAACATGCTCTGAAACATTGTTCCTTTAAAATATAAGTTTGTAAGGAGGACTTTCTCTAACAAATGCAATCAGTGTAACCTAATTCTCTGTACCCTCAATGAATCCCAAACAATAAAATAAAATAAAACAAAGGAACTTAATTCAGCATAATAAAGGCCATATATGAAAAGCCCATCATTCAGAATTGTGAAAATCTGTAAGTGTTTCCTCTAAGATGGGAAGAAGACAAAGATGCCCACTTTCATCATTTCTATTCATATAGAAAATAAATACAATATAACTTAGTATTTTTAATCCTCATTACAGGTCTGCTTGTCTTCCTGCATTATCTACCTTCCACCCAACCCACCCTAGGTGAGGTAGTGGACCCACGTTCTGAGGACTTCTCCTGCTACGTCCCTGCCCAGATCTAGAGTCTGCAATGACTGCCCATTTTGTGACCATCTGACCCTAATTCACTTGTATGAGAGTGTCTCCCTTCTCTGTGGTCACTAAGCCACCCCCTCAA